CATGCCAATTGACATTATAATCAAAATTCAAAATGACCTCATGCGTGCATTTGTAGGATGCAGAGAATTTCATTCAAGTGTATCATCTGACATTACAATTGCAGTTTAAAATAACCTACTGCATGTATCATTAGGATGCAGAGGGTTTCATTCAAGCATGTCATTTGACAGTACAATAATGATTTAAAATGACATATTGCATGCATTTGTAGGATGCGGAAGGTTTCATTCAAGCATGTCATTTGACATAGCAATTATACTCCAAAGTATCCCCCCCCCGCACGTATTTGCAATATGTAGAGGGCTTCATTCCAGTAATATCATGCATACATATAAATGTATCGCGCAAAATGCACTTAACATCATATAATCGTATGGGCCTCGACAAGCATGTCATAGGTACACACGTCGTCTTAATATGCTGCGCGAGTTAAGAAATAAATTTAGATACGAGTTTGATCCCCTGTCAGTAAATTGATAGAGTCAACAAGGTTCAACCGAGAAAATGAAACTGCCCATGAAAACCACGATGATGGCTATTTTGATAGAAAATCTCAACCGGAGGGGACGACAAATATCTAAAAATGCCTCCCAAATTCCCAAATGCCCAAAAAAACTCAAAATCATAAAAACACCAAGATTTAAAATATTTAAAATTAAAATTATTGATCAAATAATTAAAGCAAAAAAAAAACTCATCCACCATCCGCAATAGCTTACTGAGGTGGATAAATCTGAAAACTACTTCAGCTCACAAAGAGCTAATGTCTAGTCGAGAATATCACTAGGATTTATTCTCAATCTGTCTTTTGCCAGTAAGGCATGTCACATATCCTCTAACTGGTGGTTTCACCGGCAAATTCTAATGGACTCGCCGCTAAATGGCACCATAGGTAAGCGGTTATGATCGACACCCTCTAAACCAGGTGATTTTATCGTCAAATGACACTATTATATTATGATCATCGTCAGAGCCCGCATGTTCCCCACGGATCTAAATCGTTGAGTAATTAATCAATATGATAAGATCGATAGTGCACAAAATCCTCTGTAAGCTAAGGTGAATTCAAATTTATCTCCTTAAACAAATATTCACCCCGGATCTACAAGGTACCTTTGGATGAAGCAGCCCATGGCTACCGACAAGGATCTTTCTATCGGGTTAGGTCGACTACCTTTTTTTATTTTTTTATTTTTTAGGTCAACTACCTTCCCTGACTAAGTAGACCAGGGACCACGATAGCCCGGGACGACGGAACCATGGCATCTTGATCGGGCTCATCATCATTTTCCTGCCACCATCCGCTTTAAGTACAAGATGGTGAAATTTATAAATTTAAATATTAAATTTTCAAATACCTAAATCATGTTGCTACTATGCGCCAGATACTTCATACCTGTTAGATAACTAGACTTAATAGAAAGTTTTCTCTCGTTATCGGGAGTTGTAATTAATTATAGGGGTTTGCACCTATAGAAAACCAAAACTCAGATCATGAAGACCTAGCAAAATGAGGGAGAAATCTCTGGGTAGTGTCTTATTTAAAACATATAATCTATCTTCTAAAAATTTGCCTCAGAACTTAAGCATTAAAACTCTCCACGATGACCCATGAAGAAAGAAAGGGGGTCCACAGAGAGACCGGGAAGCAAATTTTTGGAGCCCGCATTTCATATGGCAAATTAGGTATTTTCTTAAATAGCATTATTATCCCTCCCAATCACATCACTTGAGTGATAACCAACAAGCACTTTTTATGCTTCCTTGGCATGGACAGAACAATAACCAATGGTTATAAACCAATCAAGTAGGGAAAAAATTATCTTGCACATTGTTTCTTTCACTTTGATGTAACTTAAACCAATAATTCCCCTTTTAAGAGAGCCATAATATTCGATTACAATTAACATATGACATGGTTAACCCTTTAGGAGGGTTATAGAGGTTGCTTGTAAGCCTATAAGCATGATCTTTAAAGCCATAATGGGATTGGGCTTACATAGACAAGCTTGAATGAGCTCAAGGAAAAGTAGTTTATCATTAAAAAGTCCATATTCATGTTCATTGTATTGTTGTTGCTGCCACCAATGACATCATCTGAGCACTCAATTGCAACTGTTATTTACGAATTATCATTTATGTTCTTAGTTGCCCTACCTAGGGGTGTCAATTTTGGGTCACGGGTCGGGTTCGGGTTGAACCCGGAACTGATACGACACTATTCGAGTCAACCCGAACATGAGCCATTTTTGCAAACGGGGCGGTTTTTCGGACTCGGACCCGACCCGCTTCGGGTTCAGGTCACCCGAAAAGTGCGTTGTTGTTTGACTTCGCTTGTTGTGAAGGCAACTTTCTCCCTTTCATGCATTTCTGTTCAACTTTGCTCCTTGGACGATGTTCCCTTCCGATCAAATCGAAAGTTACAACATTTTGATCAGAAGCAACGACGGGAGTTCGCTCGCTATGAAGGACTAGTCGCCTTGCCGGCTCCTTCGTTCCTTTTCGACTTTGCTCCTTGGACGAAGTTCCCTACTAGTCATATCGGAATTCGGAAGTTACAACATTTTGATCGGAAGCAACGACGAGAGTTCGCTCGATGTGAAGGAGTTGTCACCTCGCCATCAGTCCCTTCGTTCATGTTCGACTTCACCCCTTGGACGACATTCACTTCCGGTTGGATCGGAAGTTACAACATTTTGATCGGAAGCAACGACGGGAGTTCGCTCGCTGTGAAGGAGTAGCCGCCTCAACGACTCCTTCATTGTTGTTCAACTTCGCTCCTTGGACAACATTCAATTCCAAAGTTCCGATCGGATCGGAAGTTACAACATTTTGATTGGAAACAATGATTGGAGTTCACTGGCTGTGAAGGTACCTTTCAGTTTTTAGGGCCAAACCCGGGTCATTTTCTTGTTTCCGAGTCAACCCGAACCCGACCAAAAATTCAAAACGAGTTGAAAATCAGGACCCGAACCCTACCCGTTTCGGGTTCGGGTTGACCCGAACCCGAAATTTTCATGTCGGATTTGAGTCGGGTTTTCGGGTCGTGTCAAATATTGACACCTCTAATCCTACCCATGGGTGCCTTGCTAAATCGCTAGCACTATAAATTGCATGCAAACCTTATATAATTCCTATTGTGGCAAGCATATGCACCTCCTCAACCAATAAGTTTTGTCAAACATAAAAGAATCATTCGATTGTTTGCATCTTCATTGCCTCCTCAGCCCATAGCATCAATGATTTCTGATGCAGTACTTGTGAATTGTCATTTTTTTTTTTAAGTTTTAAATCCTAAAATTCAAGAATAGCTTCCCTCTTCAAAAGTATATAATGATTGCCAAGAGAATTGTTTACTATATGAGCTTCGTAAACCAAGAGGGAGGGTTGCCTTACCTCGACATGCATAGAAACCTGTAGATTAAAATAGGTCTCCCTACCTCGAAACACACAGCTACCATCAGTCAGATGCTGACCAACAATCATCTTCTAGTGATCAACAATAATAATAGCTAACAAATGACCAACCTCAATCACCCATTTCTTATTTTGCAATTTTCAATTGGTACAAGTGGGGTTAAAATAGCAATGACTCATGCTCCAACATAAGAGCTTCAACCTATATGAACTAATGCACCCTCATCATACAAACTTCATAATTATAATTGCCATCATTTTGATGTGCACCATAATGTCAGTGCATCAGAACATACTCAAAGGAAATTTTTTAAATAAAAAAAAGAGAGAAGAAAACACTACCTTTAAGAAGCTCCAAACACAAAATTTTAACAATGGTAGCTTCCATTATATCTGGTAACATAGCATGTCATAGAACTATTGGGAGACTTCTAGATGGGAACTCCATTCCTACAACTTTTGTGATGGGAGCTCTTATATTTACTAAGAAAAAGATCAATTTTTTTTGCGCCTGCTCAAATCTCAATCCTAAAGTGGCACTTTGTCCTTGTTTCCCTCTAGCCAAGGGTATATTGAACTTACACCACTCGACACACATCTTTCAAGAGCGGTATGAGATGGCTCCAGCCCATAAAAACATGCAAATTCTTAAATAATCTCAGATGCCTAAAGGTTCCAATGATCAAAACTACAACTACAGTTTTCTGTCAATGCCTCTTTCTTCTAATTGGCATCTCCACCAAACTAATACTTACATTTATAAACCATCCTAGCTCTCAAAATTGGGGCCATTTTTTACAGTGTAAATTCAAGCTCAAGCTTTCACTTGTTTTTTCAGAATCTCACAAGAGAATATTGAACTGGCCTTATTCTTTGTTGACTGCAAGAAATTGATTGAGCAAGTCGGATAAAGACAATCTTCAGCATGCAAGACTATTATTTTTATAACCACAAGTTCAAAAGTTCATATATTACATATAGCTTATTTGTCATGCCCAAAATCAATAGCTTCAGTCTGAAAATTGCATTCCAATTAGCATTGTAAACTCACAGCAAATCCAATTTGTCAAAGAAGCATGCCATATCTCAAAGGAAAAATGAAACTAGTACAACCATATTCATGGCATGAAGAAAAATCCAAGCTGGCACTTGTTGATCGCCTGGGTATCATTTCATAATACAATAGTGGACAGATTGAAGGTAATCAATTTGCCTCACTTCAAATATAGCTTCTACTTCAAATACTTATGGGGCTTAGTTACAAAGATTTGATCCGTCAGCTTTCTTCTTACAGCCACATACTATCTTTGTAAGAAATTAATCCTTATCATCAAGGATTGACTATATGAACCCTTCTTTTTCATTTATTCTTTTAAGTAAAATATAATATGTTTACTCCATTTGCAATTCTTCTCGGACAATTCCAAGCTAATAACTTAAATCTAATTGTACCTTGGGAAGGAACAGAAGCTAGCAATAAGTAATGAGGTCACAGCCACATAAACATTCCTCACAAAAGTACAATAAGATTTGAATGAGATTAAAAATCATTACGAACACCTTGAAGGATGGGATAGCATACCAAAAATTTAAAACCAATTGTACTTTGGGCAGAGAGAAAAACTAGCAATTCAATGAGCAATAGTCAAGAGTTATTAGAGCTTCCCTGGTCTGCTTTAAATATACGAAATGCAGCAATACACATGGTCATATTACCAACAACTGTTAATGCACCTTGTGCAGCCACCAAAATCTACAAAAAAGGAAAAAGCATGCACTTGCATGAGCATATATTAAACATATTCAAATCAATTTTGCAATATTAAGTTCCTCTAGTGAGAGATATATTCTTGCAGAAACAACTACTGAAATACATCTGAAGGGATCTATATAGTATATACATGCATGGTAATGTATTTCTGTCCTTTATAATTTATCTATTATCCCTTAATACATGTATGCTAATGCCATTAAGGAAACTATATATATAAAAGCATGTATGCATTTCTATCCCACTCTACAAGTTCTCTTCTTTTGGATACCACCGCTGTTTTAGAAAATTGATGGATTTAGAGAATAAAAATAATTGGAGGGGCAGCGATGAAAGCAGTGATCCTAACCTCATCATGTAAAGAATACTTGCAAACAAAAAGATAAAAGTGGTCTTGGCATCAAAGCCTGAGCATAATGAATTTGTCCCTCATTGGTAAATGGAAGTCCAGCACTCCTAACAATGGACTATCGCTAGATTTATTATTCACTTGCAATATTTTAACAACCATGCTCCTTTGAATTTCTGATATAATACAATATAAATCGTTGTTCCAACTTTATTTAAGTTGCCTGTAAAGTTGTGTTAGACCGGTCGACAATGGACCGGGCCCGTGTCTACACGAGCCAAAACTTTGAAAGTTTCGCCTCCCTCTTGTTGCCACCAAAACTGTGGGGCTCAGTAGCACCCATTAAGAAGAATTTTGAACGGATTTAGGAGGGAAAATTAAAAGTAAGAGTTGCTTAGAGATTTCCTTTTGGATTGTATGCATTAAGTAGTATGTTTTTCTAGGGTTTAGGACATCTTGAATTTGGCTGAAATTTGATATCTCTCTTAGTTAGCTTGGGCTGTAGCCGTTGGCTAGGGATTGGGAGAGCCGGATCTTCCTCTCGAATTAAAGATCTATTGTACCTTGATTGTTTCTTTCATCTACTATTCAATTAAGAGTGCTTTTATTTGTTATTCTTCTACTACCTTCTCAAAATCTACATGGTGAGTTGCTGAATTTCTGTTTTCAGTGGTATATTTCTCTATTCTACATTATAATTTCCAAACAAATTGGTATCTAAGCTCATTGATCTAGGGTACCAATGGCCGGAAGGAAAGGAGAAGTGTTGGAAGGGGAAATAGGTCAATTGAAATCAGATTTTGTGGAAAAGATTTCAAAACTAATTTGCATCCGTCCATCAAAAGATGGATGGAAGGTTCGCCGTCGTGGAAGACATGCAAAAGAAGTTACTCAAAGCCAAACCTTAAACAACGACATCAGAGACGAAGGAGGCCACCGCCAGCCAAGAAAGTGGAGGAAACCCTAATCCGGTTAGGGGAAGGGAAAATATAGAGGTGGAGATTTTGGAGGGAGAAGATGGGATGCCTCCTTTAGAGCCTATTTCTAGGGAGGAGATGAGTATTGAGTATGAGCGAAAGGGTGTTGATTTTGCAAGAAGAGGTGTGAGTATGAGCGCAGGGGTGCTGATTTTGATAGGAGAAGGGATTTTGAAGGATTCGGGTACGAGGAGCATAAGAGAAGATCAGAACACTTGGAGAGCACCTCCCTTTCTAGGAATGGGAGGCCATGGGGGATTCAAGGAAAACGGAGGTGATCCGAGGATAAGAAAGTTGAAGATGCCTATCTTTCTCATGAGTGATCTACAAGGTAGATAGTTATTTCGCCATCAACGGATTGATAAAGGAGAAGAGATTGATGGCAGGTGGCCTGTGTTTGGAGGGGAAGGCATTAGCCAGGTACCAGTCCAGAGGGGCCCATTCGTAGTTGGAGGGAGTTCAAGACCGCTTATTAGAACATTTTCGAACCAATAGGGGAGGGGAGGTGACTTCTATGAGCAGTTCTTCGCTCTAATGCAGGAGGGTTTTGTGGTTGAATACCATGACAGGTTTGAGTACCTAGCTAGCCGACTGGACTGGCTGTCAAAGATTGTGCTGGAGGGAAACTTTATGAAGGGGCTCAAGCCTGAGATGCGGGTAACTGTTAGTGTGATGAGGCCGCGTGACTTAAAAGAGGCTATGGAGCTAGCGCAGCTAATGGAGGACCAAAAATACCTGGAGAGAGGGGCTAGAGGCAATAGTTCAAAAGGCTCGTACAGGATGACCACCACTTTCTTAGCTCCCAAGGGACCAACACCGAGAAGCCTTCGTGAGGTCCTAAAGGAGAGACCTATAGGAGGAGGGAGATTCAGGGGGTCACTGAAAAGGATCTACAGGAGAAACGGCCAAAGGGATTGTGCTTTAGATGTGATGAGAGATACACGCCAAGGCACAAGTGTAAAAACTAAACTCTTTAGGTTCTCACTGTCTGTGATGACGAGGAAGCTAAGAAGGGAGGTGCGAGCGTGACAGTGGTAGAGGAAGAAAAATTGCATCTTAACATGGTCGAAGTCTCCTTAAACCCAGTGGGGGTTCACCCAAAATCACCCCATGAAAATGAAAGGAAAAATAGCAGACAAAGAGGTGATGGTACTGATCGACAGTGGGGCTAACCACAATTTTATCTCCAACCAGATCATTGACCACTTGGGGGTGAGATTGGTGAACATCGGGGGATATGGGGCGATGATGAGCACTGGGAATGTGGAGATGGGTAGAGGAGTGCGTAGGGGAGTTGTGCTAATTATACAGGGGGTTTAGGTGAGGGAGAATTTTCTCCTATTGGAGTTAGGGAGCACTAATGTTATCCTGGGGATGAAGTGGCTGCAGACCTTGGGAGATACCAGGTCAATTGGGAAGCACTGAAGATGGAGCTAGTAGTGGGGGGACGAAGGGTGGTGATCCAGGGAGATGCAAGGTTGTCCAAGGCCATGGTGTCTCTCAAAACCATAGTCAGGGCCATAAAGGAGGTGTGGGGAGGATTTCTAGTGGAACTACAGAGCTTAAAAGGGAGCAGACTAGAGGAAGGGGGACATTCATCTTTTAGTACAACCACTCATACAGCAGTTTAGTGAGATTTTTCAGCCGCCTCAAGGCTTACCACCACCGAGGGAGCAGAAGCACAGCATCACCTTGAGGTAAAGGATGTCACCGATTTGTGCTCGACTTTATCGCTACCCCCAAATTCAGAAGGATGAGATTGAGAAGATGATCCAAGAGACGTTGAAGGCGGAGATCCTCAGGCCAAGTGTAAGCCCTTTTTTAAGCCCAGTCTTATTGGTCAAGAAGAAGGATGGGAGCAAGAGATTTTGTATGGATTACCAGATCTTGAATAAGGAGACTATGCCGAACAAGTTCCCTATTTTGGTGATCAATGAGCTACTAGATGAGCTATGTGGTGGAGTAGCGTTCACTAAGATGGATCTTAAGTCGGGCTACAATCAGATTAGGATGAGAGAGGAGGATGTCCAGAAGACTGCATTCAGGACACACAAGGGACACTACAAATTCTTAGTGATGTCATTTGGCCTCACCAATGCCCCTACCACTTTCAAGTCCCTTATGAACAGGGTATTCAAACCATACCTACGAAAGTTTGTACTGATTTTCTTTTATGACATTCTAGTGTACAACAGAACAGAGGAGGAGCATTTGGAGCAATTGAGGGTATTCTTAGAGTTTTATAGGACCAACAGCTAAAGGCCAACCTGAAGAAGTGTTATTTTGCAAAGGCCAGTGTGGAGTACTTGGGCCATGTGATATCTCAGGAGGTAGCAATCATCGATCAGGCCAAGATTGAGGCAATGCAAAAATGGCCTATACCTAGGAACCTGAGAGAGCTGAGAGGTTTCCTAAGGTTGACGAGATATTACAGAAGATTTGTGAGAGGATACAGCTCCATAGTTTGCCCACTAACGGAGCAGTTGAAGAAGGATAGTTTCTTGTGGGTAAGAGGCAGTTACCCGAGCCTTTGAGAGATTGAAGCAAACCATAACCATAGTATCAGTGTTGGCCCTACAAGATTTCAAGTAGATTTTTGCAATAGAGATTGATGCCTCAAGATACAAATTGGGGGGAGGGGGGCAATACTTATGCAGAATCACAAACTCATAACCTATTTCAGCCAAGTATTGACAACCAAAGAAGTTAGTCTATGAGAGAGAGTTGATAGCCATCACTTTAGCAATCCAGAAGTGGCGACCTTACTTATTGGGCATGTATTTCATCATCATGACAGATCAGAGGAGCTTGAAATACTTGTTAGAGCAGAGGATGGTGACTAAGGAGCATCAAAGATGGTTGTCCAAGCTGTTGGGTTATGACTTTGAGATCCAATACAGGCCTGGATAAGAGAACAAGGCGGCTAATGATTTATCTAGATGTATGGGGGAACTCTAGAAGAAGGCCATTTCGGTATTATTGATGGTAGATTGGAGATTTATCAAAGAAGAAAGTGTATAGGCCGTGGAGCTGGGGAAGATTATGATGGATCTACTAAAAGATGAGAGCAACCATCCAGGTTATTCTGTAGAGGGAGGGATACTTCTATACCAAGGGAGATTTGTGATGCCATGGACCTCGGTTCATATTCCCCACCTACTGCATAAATTCCATGGGAGCGCTGTTGAAGGTCATTCCACTGTGCAGAAGACATACAGAAGGTTGGTAGCTGAATTGTATTGGAAGGAGATACACAAGGATGTGGAGGAGATGGTGGCTAGGTGAGAGGTATGCCAGAGAAACAAGTAAATGGCTATGGCGCCAGGGGAACTATTTCAACCCCTGGCTCTTCCAGACCGAGTGTGGGAGGTCACCATGGGCTTCATAGATGAACTACCCCGATCTGAGGGGTTTACGATGATTTTAGTGGCGGTTGACAGATTGAGAAAGTATATATACTCATTGCATTCCCTTACAGCACCCTTACACGGTAGTTACAGTGGCAGCAACATCATCAGAGAGGTATTCAGGTTGCATGGGATACCGGAGTCGATAGTCTCGGACTGAGATAAGGTGTTCCTTAGTCATTTTTGGAGAGAATTATTCAGGCTGCAGGGAACAATGCTAAAGAGGAGCACCACTTACCAATCTCAGACAAACGGGCAAACACAGGTGGTAAATAGGAGCTTGAAAACTTACCTACGATGCTTTTCTTCAAAGAAACCTTGGCTGTGGGGCAAGTGGCTAGCATGGGCGGAGCACTGGTACAACACGTCATACCGCTCGGCCTCCCAGATAACTCATTTCAAAGTGTTGTACGAATGAGACCCCCCACACTTGGTGCATTTTGGGCAGAGTAGCACGTCAGTCTCTTCAGTAGAGCAGTATTTGGATGAAAGAGATAGAGTGATGGATGAATTAAAAAGGCACCTGCTAAGGGTCTAGCAAATTATGAAGAAACATATCGATTGGCACATGAAGGACTTCCAATTCGCAGTTGGGAATAGAGTATTCTTGAAGTTCCATCCTTACAGACAAAGGATAGTAACGAACAATATGAATGAAAAGCTAACACCAAAATACTTTGGCCCTTACGAGATATTAGAGAGGATCGGAGTTGTGGCTTACCAATTGAGGTTACCCCCGTCCGCTACCATACACCAAGTGTTCCACGTCTCCCAGTTGAGGAGAACTATTGGGGAGCATGCAGTTAGTTCAAAGTTATCAGTGACCTTGACGGAGGATTTAAAAATGGTGGTAGAACCACTGGAATTAAGGGGGTGCGATAGGGAGAAGAATGGATCAAGGAATTGTTGATCAAATGGAAGAACCTACCCGATTATGACACCACTTAGGAAACTTACAAGAAGGTGAAGCATAAATTTTCATCATTCCACCTTGAGGACAAGGTGGATCTTTAGGAGGGAGGTATTGTTAGATCGTTCATTTGACCGGCCCGTGTCTACATAAGGTGACACGGAACAAAATTCTGCTCCCTCCTATTGCCGCCCAAACCATGGGGCCCAGCAGCGCCCATTAGGAAGAATTTTAGAGGGATTTAGGGGGAGGGAGGTATATTCAAAGTAGGAGTTGTTTAGATATTTTATTTTGGATTGTATGCATTAAGTAGTATGTTTTCCTAGGGTTAAGGCATTTTGAATTTGGCTGAAATTTGCTATCTCTTAGTTGGCTTGTGCTCTAGCCATCGGCTAGGGATTGGGAGAGCCGGATCTTGCTTGTTTCTTTCATCTACTATCCAATTAAGAGTGATTTCCTTTATTATTCCTCTAATACCTTCTCAAAATCTACTTTGTGAGTTGTTAAATTTCTATTTTCAGTGGGACATTTCTCTATTCTACATTATTACTTCCTAACAAGTTGCTTCACAATTTTTTATCTAAATGGTAATTCGAAAGTTCCCAATGATACAAGCATCTTCTGGAAAAATAATTGGATCAATATTTCTATTATTGCTTATCAATTATGAGCTTTTCCCCTCAGACAGAACTAGTGATATTACTAAGACCCTTTTTTTTCTTTAACCAAAGGTGGGCATGGGTTCTAGAAAAAGTTCATTTCTTTTCACCTTCGGGATAGAAGGAAATTATTTTTATCGATTACCAAACAACTTAAATTGGACCTTAATCAGGACATCCTGCATCGGCTTCAATCGCATGGATCTGGAATCCAACTACTCTCAAAATCTCAACACTTTTTTGGTTTGTTTTTATGAGGACAATTCCTAGCAATATCTCCTTAATGGATAAGGATATTATAAATAATGCTAATTATGCCAGGTGTGAAGATAAAATAGAGGATGAATTCCATATCTTCTTTGGTTGCAATTCTAAGTCAAATATTTGGGGAGGTTTTATTCTCTTTTCAGCAAAAACACATCTATAGATAATTTGGATGCAGCTTTTTCTTCATGAATATATGTTCATATCAAGATAGAACTCAAAGAACTTTAGGATACATCATATTTTTATTCCGCCTTTACTATTTGAAATAAAACAAATGCTAGGTGTTTTCTGACCGAAAAAAAAAAAAAGAATATCTTTAAGTTTTAACATCATAACGTTGCTTATTTGTAAATTTATAATGCTAAAGCGATGAAAACATCTACTATTAATTGTATTCTTAATGAGAAGCATTTTGTTGGATCCTTTGGACTTCTCTTATTCTTAATTAGTCTCGTACTCCCTTATGTTTATCTTTATGTTTTTTTTATTTTTCCTTTTGTAAATGTGAACAACAACAACATCAACATCAAGCCTTTATCCCACTACATGAGGTCGGCTATATGAATATTTTTTCTCCATTGTGTTTTGTTAAGAGTCAAATTATCATTTAAATCTAATAAAAGGGTCATTTCTAATATTTTCTAACCAAGTCTTTTTAGTTCTACCTCTACATTTCTTAACATAGGTCAAATCTAATACATCTAATCTCCTAACTCGGTCATCAAAAGGCCAATGTTTTCTGTGACCAAATCATCTAAGGCGACTCTCTCTCTAATCTTATATGCAACTGGAGTTACTCCGACATTTTCATGTATAAACCCGTTTCGCACTGCAAATAAAAATTTATTTAAAACAATAAAAATTGAACAAAATAAAGCTACTAGATTCTCCGCAAATAATTCTTCTTCCAAAAGATAGAAAAACTAAATGAATGGACTTGAAGCTATAAAGCAGGCTCCTCACTAAGTCTACCTATCTAACATTCGAGAACAAAATAAGCCATACAATTAGGTAAAAGTTCATATCACCTCAAGCGACTCAGAGTTATAGAAGAAATGCCATGTGCATGCACACATAGCTCCACCAAGAAGTGGAACCTGCATGATAAAAACATTCTTAATCATATTAAAGTGCATGTCAGAAGACAATAAGTTAGAAAGACTTAGCACCAAATGCACAATTAAAATGCAATCTCATACAAATGGAAAAACTCCATATAACTATGAAGACCACAAAAAACAATTTACCTTGTATATAAGGCTTCCATCAATGCGGGGTCTAGGGATAGATTTTTGCAAGCAACCTTATCTTTGCATTGCAAATAGACTATTTTCATAATTGGCAAGCATCACCCAACTTCTAGCATAACCCATCAAACATCTTTTGATGCATGCCAATGACCAACATGCAATGTTCGTCAACCCGTAATATCTAATACATGTTTTTCTAGTTATTTAATCTTCCATACTATTAAGACAATGAACAAGTCAATCGCTCAGTATCGCCGTGCGTGCTGATGAAAAAACAATCATTTTCTTTGACTTCTAACATTCCATTTCAAATGTCATCAAATGCCTATCAAGGACCAATACTTGATGCATGACTTTCTAGTTGTCCATTCTCCCCTTTTATTAGGAGCCAACCACCAAAACCTGACGTAAATCACCTAATCTCTTATCATATCAAGAGAATGGTTGAGTCGCCCACCATCACCCGTCTTCTAAGATAACAAGTTCATCATCAACACATGTATGTTAAAGGCCAACATTCGAAGTAAATCAATCAAATATTTTTTATACTCATCTTCCAATTGCTTAATCTCCTATCCTATCAGGAGAATGATAAGTTGAAGGTCAATTGTTGCCCAACTTTAGACATAAACAATCCAGCATCATCCAATGCATGCCAACAACTAAAATCTAACACTCACAACCAATGACATCCAACACTCATCTTTCTGGCCATTAAGTCTCTCCTCATATTAAGAGAACAATTAAGCTACTGCCCACCATCAACTACTTCTGATATTCACAATCGGCTATCATCCAACATTTGCCAACTATTGATGCTTGAAATGTCATCAATCACGAACATATGAAGCTAGTTAGTCGTTGACATCCCACACCCGTCAATCACTGACATCCCTGCCCGCCAATCACTAACATCCAACACTTATATTCTTGATTGTTGATCCCCCCCCCATCAGAAGAATGTGAAGTCGACAACCCATCTTCTATTAAAATATACCAACAACTGGCATCTATCAATCACTAATGTTCAAAGTTCTTCTTCCAGGCCACCCATTATTCCTTCTTATTAAGAGAGAACTAGGTCGACCACCCACCGTCACCTGACATCCAACATAGTATGTCAATCATATAGCTTGATGCCTACTAATGACTTGCATCCAATATCTGAAATTCATCTGTTAGCCACTGAAATTCAACATTATTCCATCAATCATGGAAGTCTATCTACCACTAATGTCTGACATCTGACTTTTTAGTTATGCAATATCCCTTTTTATTAGGAGAACGGCCAAATCGACCGCACACCATTATCAAACTTCCTACATAACATATCAATCATTGCTTAAAGCCTGCCAACGAATGATGTTCATCAGTTATTGATGTTCGATGGCCATTGTTTATATCATCTGGTCTCCCTTACTATCAAAGGAACGACCAAGCATTCTACCCACCATCACCCCACTTCTGAAATTCACTGTTAATCGTCGGTTGAGATACCTACTAACAACTTATGATCAATATATGACACTTATCTTCTTGGTTGCCCAATCTCCCCCCTAATCAAGAGAGCAACCAAGTTGATTCCTCATCATCTCCTAACATATGACATTCCCAATTGATTGTCACACGACACCTTCCAACAACCCATGTTCAGCACCTGTCAACCACCGATATCCATACTTTAAATTGTATGATCACCCCTTCTAGCAAGAAAATGAATAACATGATCGCTCAATGTCGTTCAACTTCAAAAGTTTCTTGTCTACTGTCATTAAACACTTGAAAGAAATGATGTATGTTAGCCACCGATGTTTAACGCTCATCTTCCCAATCGCCCTACTTGTCAAGACTCAAGAGAACAACTAAGTTAATTCCCATCATCTCCCCACTTATGACATAACATGTCAATCATTTTTGAAAGCCTACCAATGACCAATGTTTGATGATTGCCATCCTAGTTGCCCAATCTCCCCTCCTATAAAGATAAATATGTAGTCAACCATCCATCATCGCTTGATATCCAACATAGAATATTTGTTATTGCATGATGCTTGTCTTCCTATCATAAAGTCTTCCTTCATATAAAAGGAATGACCAAGTCGACCATCCATCATTACCCGAATTCATATATTTATCATTGATCATCATTCAATGGCAATCAGCATCTGACGTTCGACATTCAAAACACATCTCCTCAATTGAACATTCTCTTCTCCTACAAAGGGAATAACCAAGGCTTTTAAAACCGGACCGGACCGGCCGGTTCAACCGGTTGAACCGCGAACCGGCTGCCTGGCCGATTTCGGTTCGCCTGAGAACCGTTTTCGCGTCGGACCGTTCGAACCGCCGGTTCGACTGTTGAACCGGAAAACCGGCTCCGATTTCTCATAACCGTTTTCGCGTCGGCTTCTTGATCGACGGCAGCTGTGCAGCATCTTGATCGACGGCGGAGGTAGGGGCGGGGATGCAGCATGGGGGCACGTGCCTCGAGCACTAATTATCTATTAAATCAAAATTATTTTATTATATAATAAAATACTTAGTACAAGCAGTATATTCACAGCCACGGATCAGAATACAACAGAATTACTAACCTTTTCAAAAGGTCTTATTATATAAAGCAAATTATTTTTCTCTTTCACGGTGTGGGACTAAAAGGCTTTTTTTTTTCTTATGATTGGAGGCTTAGGCGGGAACTGCATGGGAAGGGTAGGCAAAGGCTTTTTTTTTTTTTTTTAGGCTTAGTCATTTTTTTTTTCTTCTAAGTTAATTATTCTAATTATAATTTGTCTAATGTATACTGTTAAAATTAAAAATATTAAATTAGTAAAAAAATTACTAAATTAGTAGATTTAATTGTATTTATTTTTAAAACTCTAATTGATCCTACATTTCAAATTTATTACATTTTATTAAACCTTCTCTAGTTATTGGGAAGGGTGCACCTAGTAGTCCTTTACTTTTAAGATTGGAATTGTTTTAACCAAGCTAGATCCCATGATTTTTCCCCTTCCTAAACTTTTTACATAAGAATCTCGTATCTTATATATGTATTGTTTTAACTTAAATGTGGGTGTGCGCCCTAAGATGCTAAATTATCTCTACTATTGCGAATAATCTAACACACAACTATACATAAGCCTATAGTAAAACAAACAATCTCTTCCGTTTTCACAAGAAGCTTCAATTGCAAATTAAGGAACATCAGAAATAGGAGTTACTTGAGAAAACAATAATGATGATATTATCATCATCATTAGCCTTATCCCAACTATTTGGGGCCAATATTATGAATTCTCATTTTATATTTGTTCCAATTAAGTGTTGCATGAACTCTTAAATCTATTATTTGCAAATCATTTTGAACAACTTCTATTCATATAACCTTATGTCTACAAATTATTTTGAAATTTTGTTGAACTATTTGATAGGCACATTTCCTACCCAAGGTATATCAAATAGATGTCCCAGGAAGAAAGAAGTGAATATAAGATTTAAAAATTAATACACAACTCTCCAAGTAGACCTAAAAATGTGGATAAGAAATTCCAAAGTTCTAAAGGGCAAGATAAATTAACATAAACATGATGGGTTAACTGAGAAAACATAGTTCAGTATAATCTTTGCTAAATTTAGTTGAAGATGTAAAACTTTTCCTTTTTTTTTTTGCGCGAGGCATTTTCATCAAGCTAAAAGGCATCCCTCACTCCCTCACTATAAAATAACTATCAAGATAGTTATAATAATTTTGTCTGCAAGGAAAAAACTAATATCTTACAAAACATAAGGAATTGCCTTGCTGTCTTACATTCTAAAATAAATTTAGTCAGAACATACAAAGCCATTTTTTCCCCTGCAGACCATCTCAGCAGAATAAAACATTCACTGAAGATGGAGATTCCAGTTGTCACTTACCATTCCCCAGGAAAGTCCTTTCCAAGCCGAAAACCCCGACTTTTCCCCGTATTCCCAAACTAAAGCCATGGCTGTAATCCTTCACAGCAAAACCCAACAAATTAACCAGATCAAACAAATACTAAAAAAAATAAACCTCTTAGAAAGGTAGCATGAGAGAGTTAGTGGGGCAACCCACAATTTCATTAAAAAAAAGTAGCATGAGAGAGAAAATTAAATCTGAAGGAGGAAAAATTCTTAAAGATGGTTCAAACTCTACCCACCACTCGATGACGCTGGACACATGAATGGCCCAAGTCGGCAGGGAGAGAGCGTTCTGGGGCTCTTTAAGCGTCGGCAGGGCTGCGCATGCTGCGGAGGGAAATGCGCACGCAGCTGCGGCTAGGGCAAGGCATGCACCGCTCGTTATTAGAGCCACAGAGGTCAGCCCTTTCCTTCTCTGTAGCTCCGGCGATGAGCTCGTAGAAGAAGACGAGCCACGAAGAGAGTGACGTATAGGAGAAGACGAAACCGATAAGCCAGGATAAGAGCGAAATTTTTTGCCGGAAAACATAACAAATGGGCTCAACGCCGTAGCGGCCGCCGCCGCTAACATGCTTCAGTTTCAGTGGAGTCGCTAGGTCTGGTAATTACAAATGTAAATTCAAGGGGATTCAACACGGACGACGGAACACATGGAAAAAAATAGCACCCAAAATATAAATAGCATTCAAAATATTTAAATTTATATATTTATCACCTAAATTTTATAATTGATCATCATACTTCATTAACAGTGAAATGAACACATTAGATGCATTTAGAGTTTACAGGCAATCTTTTCCATCAAGCCACCACAATTAGGGGCAAAACCAACCTTAATTTTCAGGAGGCAAATTTATAAGTAATTGTTGATGTTGCTTCGAATTTGGCTCGACTCTTGACAACAAGAAAATGAGTCAATAACGACTCATATTTGTTCATATCCTTAATTATTAGAATATAAAAGCTATCTGTATTTACGGTTATTGTATTTACCACTTACGCCACTTATTACTCTATATAATAGTGGCCTTTGTATTCATCTGGATATGATAATAATATTTTCCGGTTTGCCTTTATTTCCTGTTATCATCTTCTTCCTCCTCTTCTTGTTCTTTATGCTTCTTCTTCTTTCAAACTCTCATGGTATCAGAAGCCCCTATGGGAGATCAAGAATCGATGAATATTCTTCCTCCTTCCTCCCCCTCCGATTAAACCACCACCATGGCCAACCACATACCACAGCCTCTTAAATTTCTGGTTTCCAATATCAAAAACTTAGCTCCTCAACCTCTGACAACGGAGAATTACCCAATTTGGCGCGTTCAACTACCCCAGCAATTCACGGCAAATGGCTACGCCGGCCATCTCACTGGCGCCTTGAAACCTCCCGCCGATCCAATGTCCGTTGAGCATGCTCAATGGCTTTTAGTAGACAGCAATCTTCTCTCGGCGCTCTTTTCCACGGTCTCACAACTGATTCTGCCATACATCATCACGTCCACCATCGCCAGCGACGCGTGGACCGTCCTTGAACGCCGACTTCAGCCTACCAGTCGGTCCCGGGTAATGCAACTCAAGAACGAGTTGTACCGTGTTCAGATGAAGGATCAACCTATGCAGCAGTACCTCACCCGCATCAAATCCATAATGGATAACATCACCGCATCCGGATCACAAATCGATCCGGAAGATATAATGCTTCATACCTTGAACGGCCTTCCCCCTAATTTCAATTCTTTCAAGTCTATGATTCGAAACTCCCTTCTACCAATCGATCTCGATACGTTCTACTCCATGCTCTGCAATGAAGAAATTCATTTGCAACACGAATTAAATCAAGAACACACTTCCGCCTCCGCCTTATATGCCGCATCCTCCAACAATTCTCGCAGCCACAACTACAACGCCAAGCGCAACGGCAAATCCAAGAACCCGCAGAACTCTACTGCCACCCCGACGTACACCCACAACCTTCCAACTCCTCCGAATTCGGCAAAACCTACGTGCCAAATCTGTGGCAAAATCGGTCATGTCGCATTGAACTGTTGGCACCGGAGCAATCCGAAATACGCACCGACGGATACTCAATCGCCTAGAGCTCTTTTTGCTACTCCGAACACCGCTGCTAGCCAAGATTGGGTTCTTGACACAGGCGCCTCTACTCATCTAACTCCGGATATCGCTCATCTCTCTTACCCGACTGCCTATCAAGGTTCGGACAATGTTTCAATTGCTAACGGCTCAACGCTTCCCATACACAACACTGGTCAGGGTCTTCTTCCTCTTTCGGACACGACTCGTAAGCTTCGTCTTCACAATCTTCTTCACATACCTTCGCTCACTCACAATATTCTCTCAGTTTCTAAACTTACTAAAGATAATTCTGTATCAATTACTTTCGATGCTAATGGGTTTATCATGAAGGATCTTCGGGACCAGCATCCGCTACTTCTTGGTCGACTACATAACAGTCTTTACAGATTCAGCTTCCCACCGGACGGTCATCACGCCGCTCTTACGACCACCACCAAATCCTCTACCCCCTGGCACTCGCGACTAGGACATCCCAACCAAGAAACGTTCTCCATTCTTGCGAGGCAGTTTCCGGAATTTAGCCCTTGTAAAACAAATGGTTTTCTGTGATTCTTGTAATAAGGCTAAAAGCTACAAAATTTTCTTTAATAAAAGCACCTCTGTTACCACTACGCCATTTGATTTAGTTCACACAGATATATGGGGTCCAGCGTCTTTAACCTCTCTCGACGGATATCGCTACTATATCATTTTTATAGACGACTATACTAGCTTTTCATGGATTTACTTTCTCTACACCAAACAAGAAGCTCTCACTACCTTTAAAAACTCTGCAATACGATTTGAACCCAATACAATACCACTCCTAAAATCCTTCGCTCCGACGATGCAGGCGAGTACACCAGCCACGCCTTCAAATCCTTCCTGCACGATAACGGTATCTTGCAACAACTTTCCTTCCCCCACACGCCGGAACAAAACAGATTATCTGAATGCAAGCATCACCACCTTCTTGATATTACTCGTGCATTACTTAATGAATTTGGGATTCCGCACAAATTTTGGGCAGAGGCAACCTCCACCGCTAACCATCTCATTAACATCCTTCCCTCCAAAGCCATCTCCAATAAAATTCCTGCTCAATGTCTGCACGGTACTCCTCCGATTTACACTCATCTACGCACGTTCGGCTGCTTATGCTATCCCTGGCTTCGCACGTATGCCTCCGACAAGTTCTCACCGCGATCTCACGCTTGCGTTTTCATAGGCTACTTCCCTCTTCACAAAGGCTATAAATGTTACAATCCATCAACGGGAAAAACACACGTCTCTCCATGTTGTCTTTCACGAACACCAATTTCCTTACAAGCACATACCTCTTCCCGATTGCTCCAACGCTCATTCTCCAAATGCTCACATCCCTCCACCTCTCCTCATACCCACCTCTGCCATATCAAACCCCTCTGCTCAATTTCCTCATCCGCAAATCCTCCAACACAGTGCTCCTGCTAATGCTCCGTGTCCTCCTTTAGATACAATACACCCTGACACCAACCCAGATCTGCAGCCCGCTATTCCCCCTCAGCCAACTACCTCTCCCAGACGTCCTCTTCACCACATGCAGACAAGGTCTAAATCGGGCATACACAAACCCAAGCAAGTTCTTAACCTCTTGACTCACACTACCTCTCCATCCACCCCTACTACTTACAACCAAGCCGTGAAGTCTGACCATTGGCGGCAAGCTATGATCACATAATTTCATGCCCTCCTTCAGCAAGCCACTTGGACGTTGGTTC